CTCCTCCTCCTCCTCCTCCTCCTCATTTTCTTCCTCCTCCTACTCGTCATCATCGTCTTCCTCTTCCTCCTCCGCCTCGTCCTCCTCCTCAACCTCCTCATTCTCCTCCTCCTCCTCCTCCTCCTCTCGTTCTCCTTCTCCTCCTCCCTCTTCTCTCTCCATTCTCCCACAGCTCCTGTGCCTCATCCGTCCCTTTCCCCCCTTCCCCTCGCCCCCATCATTCGTCGCACTCCTCCCTACCTGCTGTTTGTCATGCTTGATATTTCTCTCCCCTGTGTGCCCTCCTACAAATCCTGCTCCTCCTGCCCCACCCCTCCTGCCCCTCACTTACTGACGCTCCTCCTCATCCTTGTCCAGTCCACGTGTATGCGAGGGTAATCCCGATTGGGCGTTTGTCAGGAAGTCCTAGGAGTGCCGTAAACGCAGAAGGTCATCAAACTAACATGCTACTCTACGTGTTACATATGTATACACACACGTAGGTGTACTTACCTTGAGTATATCTATACATATATATATATATATATATACATGTGTGTACGGATACGTGTGTACGTAACAATGGTTTTGCATGGTGTGGCCGCCAGCAGACCCACAGCAATGAACTAAACACTTAGGCTTAGCCGCAGGCTCACGGCCGGATCGCAACATGGAACATGGTGTACGATTCAACCGTATACAACAGGTGTGGATACAACTCGGATGGCGTTTGCACTGCCATCTTGCCAAAAGGGTGCCGAGGGTGCTAATCCACCTCGCACCCGCGACATCTGGCATGGTGCAATGATGGCTTCCATCCCGAATCCGAGAGACGGTGGCCCAAGGTGTTTGCAGACCTTCGTCTTGCGGCGGCGCTTCTTACCAACCTTGTATCGGGAGGGAGTCAGCATGGGACATGGAGGTGTGTGTGTGTGAGCGTGTGTGTGTGTGTGCGTGTGTGCTTGTGTGCGAGTGTGCGTGTGTGCGTGTGTGCGTGTGCGTGTGTGCGTGTGTGCGTGTGTGCGTGTGTGCGTGTGCGCGTGTGCGTGTATGCGTGTGTGCGTGTGCGTGTGCACGTGTGTGCGTGTGTGCGTGTGTGCGTGTGCGCGTGTGCGTGTATGCGTGTGTGCGTGCGCGTGCGCGTGCGCGTGCGTGCGTGCGTTCGTGCGTGCGTGCGTGCGTGCGAGTGCGTGTGCGTGTGTGTGTGTGTGTTTGTGAGTGAGCGTGCGTGCGTGCGTGCGTGCGTGTGTGTGTGTGTGTGTGTGTCCGTGCGTGCGTGCGTGCGTGCGTGCGTGCGTGAGTGCTAAGTGTGGGCGCGGATGTTGTGGGCGTTGGTATGGTCGAAGCTACTTGGTCGAAGCAGCCAGTTGGCTAGCAGCGGATTGTTCTTTGCCGTGTGGTGTGGGCTCGTAAGAAACAATTTCCATATTCCTCAAAACCTTTTCTATGACATATTCTGACCAAGCTTTCTTGGAGCACCGAGTGCCAAAGGTATTGTTTCAGTGAACACTTGTGCAATGCAACTCCCCCAACTCTCCAAACTCCCCAAACAGTTCCTTATCAGCAACTCCCCAAACAGTGCTTGCACTACTTAGGGGCTCTTACTTCTTACTACCGGACTGAGCTGGGGTGTGTGTCCGTCTGGCGGCTATGTAGCCGCCGTCGCCGTCCCGTCGCAGCCGCGTCGCTGCCCGTCGTCTGGGCCTGTGTGTCGGTCTGCCGGCTATGTAGCCGCCGTCGCCGCCTCGTCGCCGCCCGTCGTCTGGGCCTGGGTGTCGGTCCGGCGGCTCCGCGCTCGCCGTCGCCGCACCGCCGTCCCCGTCGCCGCCCCGTCGCCGCCTCACACACAGACACACACATATACATATATATATATATATATATATATATATACATATATTCTATTATATATACATGTGTACAGATATCATTGCACCGCAATTACTGCACCGCATAGAGTAAATGGACAACATAACGCCTGAAGGTCTTTAGATGACCCCCCCAATAAGGTGTTTACTAATTATTTGTTCGGTGGTCTTATTGAAGGACCCGTAGCAGAAACAAATTATTCATCCGCGGCACCCGCCGCGCAACAACGACGACGACGACGACGACGACGACGACGACGATGACGACGACGACGACGACGACGACGACGACTACGATTGCGATTGCGACTACGAGCACGACTACAGCAACGACTACGCTTACGACTGCAATCAACATTACAACCACGACTATAATCACGACTACAAGCGCAACCACTGACTCCTATTGCAATCTGGATGAGAAGATGCTCACAATCCTCTCGCGTGTAGGGTTGCCCACACTTGCAATTCCCAGGGAGAACGAGCCCCCAACAATTATCCAGCCCGCCCAGCAATAGAAAAAACACAATCTCCGCCGCGGCAACGAAGACTACTATGATTACGATAACGGCCACGAGGAGGAGCCCTCCTCCTTCTCATCATCATCCTCCTTATCCTCCTACTCCTGCTTGTCATCCTCCTACTCCTGCTGCTCCTCCTCCTCCTTAAGGATGAGACGACGAGGAGCAGGAGGATGAGGAGGAGGAGAGACAGGAAGAGGAGGAGGGGTGGGGCAGGAGGAGGAGGAGGAGGAGAAGGAGGGGGAGAAGGAGGAGGAGAAGGAAGAGGAGAGGGGGGAGGATGAGGAGGAGGATGAGGAAAAGGAAGGGGAGCTGAAGGAAGAGTCGGGACCAGTTCTGGGACCAGTCCTACTCCGAGTGAAACAGGGGACACCAAAACAAAAGACCCCTCGGGGGAAACTTGCACCACGTAGATTGCACCGCAAATACTGCTCCACATGGATTGCATCACACAGATCGCACCACATGTATTGCACCACATGGCTTGAACCACAGAGACCGAGATCGCACGGCATAGCCTGCACGACACAGGTGGCACAACCTAGATCTCACCGCACATACGCTGCACCACATACATTACACTGTACATATTGCGCTACACAGATGTCACCACACGTCTTGCTCTACTTAGGTAGCGTGAACTCACTTGCTAGAGACGCACTGTGTGGGGGTGCCGCTACCTGACATGTGTCAGGTGGAACAGAAGACTGACCAGCATCCAACCATCCTACCATCCCACCTTCTTGCCAGCCTGTGCCAACCCGCATTTTTCCACCGGGCTGAGGCACTACCTCGTGATGACCTGGGATGTGGCTCAACAGCTCTGCGCACATCACGAATCACTCGTCCTCCCCACCTCCTCCCCCTCCTCCTCGTCCTCTTCGTCCTCCTCTTCCTCTTCCTCCTCCAACTCGTGCACGGCGCCAGGTTGGCGCAGCTGCCTGTGAGGTGAAATTAGATGGAGGGGAGCTCGGGGCGAGGCCGACCTCGGACGGCTGGAGAAACCTTCGGAGAAGCGGCAGCGCTGGATGCGTTCCCAAGACAGCTGTGGGCTCTGCGAGCCTGGTCAAGTTACGTATATTGCAGAGCGCCCTATCCCTACACTGCGCAGTCCCCAAACTCCTCCTCCTCCTCCTCCGCCTTCTCCTCCTCCGCCTCCTCCACCTCTTCTAACCGCGACCCCGGCACCCGCCCCTGGGCGTGAACAAGCCCAACCCCGCTGCAAGGGGCGCGCGCACCCACCATATAATGGGATGACATCGGGGGCGGGGGAGAGCGGGATCTGGAAACTGTACCCCAAAAAGGTTCATAACGAGAAGCAAGGAGGACGAGGAGGAGGAGGAGGAGGAAACACAGCTCACTCAACAGGGGGGAAGGTAGAGGTGAGGTCGACCTGACCTTGACCACTGCCTTGGGACTGCGCCTGGTCCTGCGACAGCTCGCGAGAAGGAGGAGAGGGAGGAGGAGGAGGAGAACAAGAGGAGGAGGAGTAGGTAAGAGACCAAGCCACCCTGTAGACAGCCCGCAGGCTGGAAACTGGACAGGGTGCCGCCGCAGTGCGGCGAGCGGCGCAAGCCTCGTCGTGCTCAGCGCCCGTGCCCACCTCCTCGTTCAGCCCCATCCTCCGAGCTCCTCCTCCGCCCTTCTCCTGGGCACTCTCCTCCTCCCTCTTCCTTCCTCCGTCTCCCTCCTCATCCTCCATGGTCCTTCTCCATCCTCCTCCGCCTCCTCCTTCTCCTTTTCAGCCCTCCTCCTCCTCATTCATCCATCCCCCCTTCCTTGCGCCCCCTTCTACTCCCGCTGCTCCTCCTCATCAGACTCCTCCTCCTCCTCCTCCTCCTCCTCCCTACAATTGCACGTAATGATCACTGCTCTCCTCTCTCCCCTGACTATGTCCGGAAAAGGTTTGGCCCTCACCGCGCATTGATCTTTCTCACAATATTTCAGGCATCGACTTTCCCTGACTGCTTCGGTTACAATCCGAATGGTCGGATTTTTTTGAATAGTGCCCCCGCAGAAGCGCGAGCCTTCATCTAGGATCGGCGCTTTGCTCCGGTCGTTCTCTCGCCCCAGCGCCGGTCACTTTCCCAGATCCGAATCATTATTCATCGCTGTCGCCCCCTCATTTCCTATCCCCCGCCTTCCACTGGTCCTCCTGCTCCTCCCTGCTGCTTCTCATCATCGTCCATATCCTCCCTCATCCTGCTGTTCCTCCTGAACATCCTCCTGATCATCCGCCACATCCTTCTCCTACTACTCCAGTGAACGCATCCCCCATGTTCCTGGATTGTCCATATGCGGCGCGGGCGTTTCGTCCTCCTCTTTTCCCCCTCCTCCTCCACGGCCTCCCCCCGACGATAATTCGGGGGCGGCCAAGAGGGGGGCGTCCAAGAGGGGGGGGGGGGGGGGGCGCAAATCATGGCTGGCGGCATGTGCGTGGCCCAGGGGAGGTCAGGGACACGTAATGAAGTAAGAAGAGGCGCCATGAAATCGGGGGAAATATCGTGACCCACGCCATGATATCCGCCCCCCCTAGGCCCTAGTCATCACCCCCCTCTTTGCTGCCCCCGACGAAAACGACAATCAGCGCGACGACGCCGTCTTCGGGAGACCAGCCGCGTCTGCGCGGGGCCTTCTGCTGGTCGGGCTCCGCCGCCGGGACGGCGCCAACGGCGCTCCCGGCGCCCCGGGAGATCCTCCTCGGGGACGTCGCCGCCGAAAGCGTAGCCGTCGTCGCAGCCACAATCGGCGTCGTCCGTGCCGTGTTCGCCGCCGCCGCCGCCGCCTTCGTCTCGTCGCCACCACTACCGCCGCCGCCGTCGTCGTCGCTGTCCACCGACGTCGTCGTGCTCGCCGTCGTCGTTGTCGTCCTCATCGTCGGCTGGCCTAAGGGTCGTCGTGGGCGCCGTGGTCGTCGCGGCAGTCGTCGTCGTCGACGTCCACGCCGTCGTTGTCGTGGAAGTCGACCAGGCGGTTGCCGCCGTCGCCGCTGCCGCCGCCTGAGGGGAGGGACGGGCGAGAGAAGAGGAATGGAGAGCGACATTGACAAGTCAATCTGGGGCGCTCGCTAACATGGATTCGGAAATCCGTGGATCTGGCACGACGGTGCCAGATCGGGGAAGGTATCTCGCGAAACGTGAGGCCAATACCGCCCGATTTGGCGACGGAGCGCGCCGATTCTTTCAGGAAGCGGGACCCGTGGCTATTCCACCCCACCACCCCCACACTCACCGGGTAAATCTTTTTCCTGCGCGGGCCCTGTCACACCCAAGAACAGGCACAATGGGAACAGGGATAAGGCCAACAAGACTGGAGGAGGGCGCGGAGGAGTGAGGGGCGAAAAGGGAAACCGGGTGAGCAAAAAGTATAGCACCCCACAGTTGCGGATAACAGTGAAGGGGCGGTCGCGGTTGGGTCGTGGGAGGGTCGCGGGCCAGGTCGCGGGCTAGACGGCGACAACAAGCAACCAACAACCAGCAGCAAACAACAATCGAACATCAGCAAACAACAAACAACCAACAACAAACAACAAACAACCAACAATCAACAATACACAACACACAATACACAACGCACAACACACAACACACTACACACAACACACAACAACCAACACACAGCAAACAACAAACCAACAACAAACAAAAAACATCAAACGACACACAACAAAGAACAAACAACAAACACCAACACCAACAACAACAACAATACCAATTACTAGCACGTGGGGACACTCCGTTCTCACCAGTGCCAGGGTTTTCATAGGAGGCGGGCAATACCCCCACTTTGTGGGGGGGCCGGTTCAAGCTCTACCAAATTTCCAAACGACTCTTCGCCACCACCCACACCCAGCTTCCCGCCCTATGACGTTCGGACACTTCACTTCGTGGCATGCGGACGACCGTGGCTACTATTCAGGGCCCCGCGGCCGACGACGACGGCGTGCGCGCGCGAAGAAAAAACGAATGTGTCCCGCATGGTATTATTTGACAGGGATGATGGCCCTGGCAGGTGCGCAACCGTTGTTGCAGAAGTTCGAAAAAGTTGCTCGCAAAAGCCCGTTTGACAGAAATGTTTAAAAAGTGTTGGGTTTCCTACGAATCCGCAAGAGCGCGCGGGATGAAATTTTGACATTTTTTTTTGAAAAACCATTGGTTTTTTGATGTTGTTATGTTAAAATCGCTACGAACACTAAGGTTTTGGAAGGATTTCGTCTTGCGCGCGCGAATGTCCACTTTACCTTATTTTTTGCAAGGGATTCTTGAAGTTTGGTTATGTTAGAACAAGAAATGTCACTTTAGCTTTTTTTTGCAAGGGAAAACCGATCGTAACAACACAACCGGATCTGGTACACATCGTTTTGCCTGAGACTTCCTCACGAAAATGATGAAAATGTGGCTGCGGCCTAGGCGCGGCGGGGGGGCCGCGCACCAGGGGCCCCAACAATAATTATTCTTTAGAAGTAATAATGTTCAACAACAACAACAACAACAACAACAACAACAACAACAACAATTACTAGACGTGGGGACACTCCGTTCTCACCAGTGCCAGGGTTTTCATAGGAGGCGGGCAATGCCCCCACTTTGTGGGGGGGCCGGTTCAAGCTCTACCAAATTTCCAAACGACTCTTCGCCACCACCCACACCCAGCTTCCCGCCCTATGACGTTCGGACACTTCACTTCGTGGCATGCGGACGACCGTGGCTACTATTCAGGGCCCCGCGGCCGACGACGACGGCGTGCGCGCGCGAAGAAAAAACGAATGTGTCCCGCATGGTATTATTTGACAGGGATGATGGCCCTGGCAGGTGCGCAACCGTTGTCGCAGAAGTTCGAAAAAGTTGCTCGCAAAAGCCCGTTTGACAGAAATGTTTAAAAAGTGTTGGGTTTCCTACGAATCCGCAAGAGCGCGCGGGATGAGATTTTGACATTTTTTTGTTGAAAAACCATTGGTTTTTTGATGTTTTTATGTTAAAATCGCTCCGAACACTAAGCTTTTGGAAGGATTTCGTCTTGCGCGCGCGAATGTCCACTTTACCTTATTTTTTGCAAGGGATTCTTGAAATTTGATTATATTAGAACAAGAAATGTCATTTTATAGTGTTTTTTGCAAGGGAAAGCGGGGGGGAACAAAACAACCGGATCTTGATCACATCGAATTACCTGAGGCTTCCTCACGAAAATGATGAAAATGTAGCTGCGGCCTAGGCGGCGCAGGGGGGCCGTGCACCAGGGGTCCCAACAATAATTATTCTTTAGAATTAATAATGTTCAACAACAACAACAACAACAACAACAACAACAACAACAACAACAACAACAACAACAACAACAACAACAACAACAACAACAACAACAACACTACCATTGACAACACTTATACCAACAACCACAACAATGTTATGACTGTTTGCTCTTGAGCGAGAGCGACAAGGGGGCCACGAAGGGCAGAGAGGGGGCCACGAAGGTCGACAGCGGGGCCACAAAGGGCTTGCATATGGGGCCACGACGGGCGCGAACGAGCGGGGGCCACGAAGGGCAGATAATGCCTGGCCACAGAGGGCAACGACGGGGCCACCGAGGGTAGCAACGGGGCCACGTAGGTTAGCGAGAGGCCACCAAGGGCGACAGCGGGGCCACGCAGGGCATGCATGTGGGGCCACCGCGGGCGCGAACGAGCAGGGGCCACGAAGAGCATACACATATGGGGCCGCGGGAGGCAAGGACAGAGTCATTGAAGGCAACAACGGGACCACGAAGGGCAGCGAGGGGGGCCACGGGGGGCGACAGCGGGGCCACGAAGCGCATGCATATGGGGCCACGACGGACGCGAACGAGCGGGAGCCACGAAGAGCATACATATATGGGGCCGCGAAGGGCAGCGAGGGGGACACGAAGCGCATGCATATGGGGCCACGAAGGGCTGCAACGGGGCCACGAAGGGTAGCGAGGGGGCCACGAAGTGGTGCAACGGGGCCACGAAGGGCAGCGAGGAGACCACGAAGGGCTGCAACGGGGCAACGAAGGGCAGTGAGGGGGCCAGGAGGGGCTGCAACGGAGCAACGAAGGGCAGCGAGGGGGCCACGAAGGGCTGCACCGGGGCCTCGAAGGGCAACGAGGGGACCACGAAGGGCTGCAACGGGTGCACGAAGGGCAGCGAGGGGGCCACGAAGGACTGCAACGGGGCCACGGAGGGCAGCGAGGGGGCCACGAAGGGCTGCAACAAGTCCACGAAGGGCATACTCACTTCCATCACCATCATCATCAGCAGCATCAGCATCAACATCAACATCATCGTCACCATCATCATTATCGTCATCATCCCCCGCAGCAACAGAATCACCCGCACCATCACCATCATCAACATCATGACCATCATCGTCGCACATCGCCACCGCCCGGAGCACTACCATCGCGATCACCCTCACAATGAATATCGCATCCGTCCATCATCAGCAACGACAGCACCAACATGATCCAGAACAACATCATCATCGTATTCAGCATCATCGCCACCATCACCACCATCATCACCGTTAGCATCATCATCATCATAACCATCAGCATCGTCATTATGATCATGATCATCCACACCACCGTGATCACCACCACGAGCATCATCACTATCACCATCACCTTCATCACCACCATCGCCATCAACGCATTCACTGTCACCACCCATCACCATCACCATCATTATCACAATCACCGTCATCGTCGCCCCCATCATCATCGTCATCAGCATCAGCATCATCATCGCAGTCGTCACTATCATCATCATTATCGTTATCATCATCATCAGCACCATCATCAGCCTCATCATCCTAATCCTCGTCCCCATTCTTGCCCTCAACATTACAATCACCATCGCCGTCAACATGACCAAACTCAGCATCATCATCATCATCATTACCATCAGCATCATCATCGGCAGCATCATCATCGTCATCGTCATCTCCATCATCACCATAAGCAACGTCATCATCATCAGCATCATGTCCACCATCATCATCCGCATCATCATCCCCACTCCTCCCCATCCTCCCGCCTTCCCCATTCCTCCTCCCCCTTCCCCCCCCCGCAAGAAGAACAATCAGCGCACCAGGCTGCTGACCACGACCCTGGAAGCAGGGGGGAACAACAGGTGGAAGAAGCGGGAGAGGATCGAAGATCAAATGTGGATGCCCCTGCTCGTCGTCATCGTCATCCGCCCCCTCGTCTGTACCGTTTCCTTGTAAATAGCTCCTCCGCGTCAGTCCACTAGGCGTGGCGGCAGGGAGGGCGCTGGACGGTCAGGGGAGGCCCCTCCACTGTATCATATCCAGTCCTGCCGCTCGAAGTTCCCAAAAGGCGCAAACATAGAAACCTCGCCGCAAGCGGCATGAAGGTCTCGCCTGACCGCCGCGCACAGTCGCCTTCAAAGCTTGCGGCAGTTGTTCGAAGATTGCAAGTTGGAGCTGAAGCGCTACGTGCCTTCACGAGTCTTCCCTGCAGCAATTCCAGCTGCGGCGTACCCAATATCCTCGATATAAAGGGGTCTCGCCCTCGAGCGGCGCACGCTCGTTCGCAACAGCTACAAGGATGGAGGGCATATCTCGCCTTCGCAGAGCACGTACTATGATTCCCATTCAGAATGGAACTCCCGAGTAATACGACCGACAAGCTCAAGCATCCCCGACCGTTTCAGAATATAGGG